AGTGCATCAGGGTTGTTTTCTCACTTAAATAAAAAGCTAGCAAACCCCACTTTTTTAGTAATAATTTCTTTATTGCACTAGTCTACAGCTCTGTGTGTGTGTGTGTGCGCACAGACAATGTAATCAGCTGCCAGCAGCCCCTGTGCAACAGTAGCGGTCAGGATAAAGATGTCCCAAGCACAGATTGCAGACATGGGTGTGATGTGTACACCAGTGATGAGTGAAGTGGGGGGAATCTCCTTAGCCAACCTTCCTCTATTGACTCAAACTCCATTTGATATGAGGGCAGATGAGGCACCAGAGAAGATGGGCACAGCTTTTTGTTACAGGATAAGAGAGAGACCACATTGCCTTAGGTCACTGACATCCCTCTTGTTCCAAGAAACGTCAATGATGCTCTTCCACTTGCCTGTGCTGCCAGGTGTGCCCATCATGGCCAGCAACACCACCTGGTCAGTGCCTCCCTCTCCCACCTCAAGTACTTCTGGCTTAATCACTGCTGGCTTTGAGGCTTTCAAGTCCTTACTTTGTCCCATGCAGCCTTTGACTTCTACAGCGAGGCTCTCCTTCTCCTTCCTTTCTCTTCCAGCTCCTTCACAGCCTGACTAGTTGTTTTTGCAGTAAAAGGTTCTTATGAAAACTCAGGAGACTGAGAGGTAGCAGGGAAGCAGTATGTTACCAAGATGTTGCTGCTCCTGCAAAATGAGCACTGTCTCATAACAGAGTATTTATGCCTGGCCCGCTTCCCCCATTCTCTCCCAGCCACAGTTAGACACAACTGCTGTATGACAGCACTTATTTCTCTGGTAAAGCATATGAATTCATGCATTCTTGGTGTCTACTGCACATCAAGATAATTCCTTTGCTTACTCTTACTCTTTCTGTCCCATCTATTTGATCTTTCTCAAAGCTGGAAAGCTTCTTCCCTCTCCCTTCCTGTGGTCCCTCCAGTGATCCCCCCCCTCTACTCAGCCCTGGGAAGGCCACTGTGGAGTGGCCATTGGAGTACTGTGTCCAGTGCTGGACTTCCCAGTACAAGAGAGACATGGCACTACTGAACCGAGTCCAGTGGAGGTCTGCTAAGACGATGAAGGGACTGGAGCGTCACTCCTATGAGGAAAGGCTGAGGGAGCTGGGCCTGTTCAGCCTGGAGAAGAGAAGACCCGGGGGGATCTGATCGGTGTGTATAAATATCTGAAGGGAAGGTGTCAAGAGGATGGGGCCAGACTCTTCTCAGTGGTGCCCAGCTATAGGATGAGAGGCAACGGGCACAAACTGAAACACAGGAAGTTTCATCTGAACATGAGGAAAAATTTCTTTTCTGTGAGGGTGACTGAGCGACTGGAACAGGTTGCCCAGAGAGACTGTGGAGTCTCCTTCCCTGGAGATATTCAAAAGCTGTCTGGAAAGGATCCTGTGCAATGTGCTCTAGAGGACCCTACTTGAGCAGGGGGGTTGGACTAGATGATCTCCAGAGGTGCCTTCCAACCTCGGCCATTCTGTGATTCTGTCTCCAATAACCCATCTGGGAACTATGCACAGGGACATTATAAATTATTAAAACCAGGTTTGCCTGTATCAGTAAGTCCAAGAACATGTGTTGATGCAATAGCTGTGGTTTACTTTGCATCTGCTTGCCAGCCAGCTTTCAACATTCAATATTTCTTAATATCTCACCACCTTATTCTTATGTGAACCAGAGAAATTGTCTCCTATTTTTAATCATGTGAATTTGGCTCAGTCACATTGAGCAACAGAATAAATAGCAAAACTCATGTGAGTTGAGTTTCTGGATGCCATACTCAGCATTAACCACAGAACTACTTTGATGAGTTCTTTCAGAAAAGAAAGCAGAATCTGTGAGTCAGAAAAATCTCGCACCTTTAACCATTCCTTACACAAATGGTCTTATCCCTCCCTCAGTGATGCCCAAATTTCCCTTTCCATGAACAAGGGTTAATAAACAGATAGATCTTACTTGTGAAGGCCTTTTGAAAGCCTCTGTTGTAAGGAACTGTGGAAATGCTAGATATTATACAAGATGTTGGTTTTAGTGGGATTTTCTAGGAAAGCAAAATCTACCTAAATGTAGCAAGGCAGTTGCATGTAGCCCTGATGTGGGAAATAGCGATCTACTGAGATGAGCAAAGAGTGAGACATGTGGGGAATAGCCTGGTCTTCAAATCAGGAATTTCACAGCTGTGCTCCATCATCTTGAGCTGCATAAATGAATCAGCTGCACAGCCAAACCACAGAATGACACCAGCTTCCCTAAAAGAGTCTATATATATAAATGTTAGACTTGTGTATTTCTGTTTATAAATATTCAGTAATAACAGACCACAAAGTGACAAGGTTTTCTCAGCATGAAGCTCCTAAAAAAATACTTGTTCTATCTTCCATTTCCTCCTGAGCTATATTAAACTAAGCTTTTGCACCTCTAGCTATAACAAGCAAACTTAAAGTCCTGGGACTGGAGCATGTGACCAGAACATTTTATAGGGAAAAAGATAGCCAGGATGGAACTCTTCTGAAGAAAGTTGATTAAAAGTGTTGATCCTTGTTAGTTGTAGCTGATGACATCACACTATCTGGGAACTGCACTGCTGTTCTGTAGATACTTAAGTTTAGGCTATATTTCTCAGGCTGGACAGCACACGTTATTGCTCTATGAATTCACTTTGAATCCTTTAGCCAGCTTCAGCTGTATTTTCCAGGGGGTTGTATTCTTGAAGAGTCTGAGTATGTAGGAATGTAAGGAAAATTGGTAGCTGGTGGTGTGTGCAGATGGGCGAGCCAAAGCTTTGCCTCCTGGAGGGCAAGTCAAGACTGGTCCTTATCTGTGCTGATGCACAATGAGGAGTTGACCACTTAGCAAATAATGTAGCTGTGAGGCAGCCCCAAGATGTGCCGCATCTTGCCCAGCCAAACTAGTCATGGGTGAGAATGGGAGCAGAGGATATGAAGCGGGGAGGCAAAGGCTGGAGTGTGGTAGGGAAGAGGCACGAGGGGAGAGCTGAAGTGGCTGCAGTGGAGGGTGTGTATGTGCGTATGCATATGTGTATTAAGGACTTGGGGCACAAATCCCCAGAAAAGCAAGTGTTATTCATTCTGTTCATTGAGTATCTTGCTTCCAGATGGCTTTATCCACTGAATGCAATGAATCTGCAGGTAGATATAAGCTTTTTAAAGACATCAAACCTTGTTTCCTGCAATTTTGCTCTTTCTCAGCCTGGTAAGCGTCTGGGTTTATTTGCTGGGAATTTGGCTTCTGTTATGTTGTACAAAGTTACCATTTGAGCTTCCCACCTCCGCTACGTAAATGGAAAGACTATCATATAGCAAAAACCTGAACTTAGATCTAATATAAAAAAGGTCTTCCTACCTGATAGTTCTTCTATCTGGTCCTTCTGTCCCTGAACTGCCAAAGAAAGAACTATAATCATTTTATAATTCATGAGGTCAGATTCTCAGAATGAAGCACAGTGGCTCCAGAAAGCCGGGTGAGTGGCTTCTTTCCCCAAATGTGGCAATCTAGCATCAATGGAGACAATTTGTCTCCATTTGACAGAGAACGTGCAGCACCACAGGGCTGTAGCTAACTTCAGTTGCTTACCAGCCTTTCGTGCTCGTTGCTGACAGGATTGCTTAAGAGCAATGGGACAGCCGTCTGTGGGGCAGGTAGCTACAGTGACCCTTGCAATGACTATGTTGATTAGGATATAAAAACTGTAAAGAGAATCCCAGAAGTAAATTTGGAGCTGTGTGATTTTTTTTCAGTTTGTTTACTCACTGAAATTGCTATAGTATGGTGGCTAGTGCCTGCGCAAAGGAATAGGTGCAACACAAGCATATGACATATCCCCCAAAGTTGCAGTATGTTAACAGATGTCATCAGCTATAAGTTTCTTCTCTGTAGAGAAGATGGCAGCACGGTCTCATAAACCATCAAATTTTCAGCTCTTAAGCAATATTTTGAGGTCTCCACTATAACTGAGGCTGTTATCAGTTAAATAAACAGTTCATAGTTTATGTTAGAGTTTTATTAATAAATGGTATATGAGAAGTTCATGCAGTATTGCCATCATAAACAGCTATGTTGTTTTTATTAGTCATTATTTAGTTTATGACAGCACCACGAAGCCTCGCTCTCAGACTAGGACACTGACGCTCCAGACCGGGGCTGCTAAGCTGAGGTTTATTGAGTTTGTGGGAACATTTTGCTGAGGCCTGCTAGCGAGGACCTGTGTGCTGACTCCAGCTCTGGCAGGTCAGTCAGACGCCATGCACTGCCTTCATGGGCTAGCAGACAGAAATGCATGGCAACTGGTCCCTGACAGATCAAGAGACTGTAAGAAGTATGGGGTTGCCTACAGGAAATATCACCTGAGTCTAGACAAGACCTAGGAAAAATTTACTTGTGATCAAGTTCCAAATGAAGTTCTCCACTGAATAGCCCTGTCCTAGACAGGCTGAGGTCAACATTACCACACTTTATAACCCGTGTCTTTCTTACCCTTTCTGCTCATAAGCCTAGAGGCCATAATCTGCTTACATCTCTTAACTCTTTATACTCCATTATAAAGAGACGTTTAATGTAAATTGGGATAAAGAGGTGGGTGCTATGGAAGGAATGAGAAATCAACGCATTTGTGATTCACAAGAGATGTGAGAAATCACAAAAGAAGAAAATCCTGCCATGTTGTCCATAAGAAAACTTACTAAAGACAATATATGAAGACTGCAATTATTTAGATGCCAGATAAGCTGGAAGATACCTCTTGTTACTCATGAGAACTTTTTATATTAAGTAGAATGTAAAATAGTCATGTGAAAATATGGGGGTATGCAAACTACGGTTCGTCAGAAAAAGGGAAATTTAGTCATATATTTAGCAGTCATTTCCCCTTTTTTGAGAAACCCATATACATTTTTTTTCTCTCTCTCTCTCTCGCTCTCCCCCTCTTTCTCCCATTGTCACTCTACGGAAGGAAAGAAAGGTTCTGACACAAACCTGATTGGGCAACGAGAGACAAATTTCCGTTGTGTATTGAGTTAAACTCTATATAAGCTCTTTAGTAGCAATGTTTGATCTTACATCTTTTCAGGAGAAACTAGTGCTGGAAGAATGCAGAACCACAGGTAAGTGAATCTGATGGAAATTTGGGAATGAAAACCACCCCTAAAACCTCAGGTTGGATGGAGGCTTATGGAGACTGCTAGTTACCAAACTGGAGGGACCTGAAAGTTCTGAAGAAAATAGCCAAGTGCTTTCATACTGTCAGCTAAATTTAGCCACTGAAATAGGGAGAAACACATATTATAAATACGAGCAATATGAGATACACAGAAGATGCCTATGGTTGTATGTGTCTATGAATATGAGTGTATTCATACTGTGAGAAATACATTTCTGCTTTTCGGAACTACGGAAGTAGTTCTCTAGTCATTTAATAATCGTCCTACAGGACAATCATAGTGTTAAGCTAATGTTAAATGTATATAATTTATATTTTCGTATATAACTTATAGCTACAGCAGGTAGAAATGCCATATGTCATGTGTTTATCTGTTCTGTATATGTATAGGCATATGTGTCATGTGCCAATATGTAGTATACAGTAAATAAATACTTTATGAATAGGGCATAAACTGGTGCCCATGCTATAGCATGTTTCATGTATTTTTGCATGCTGAACCCTCAGATGACATATAAACACATGGTATGGGACTTTTATACTTGCTATATATATTAAGTCCCTATTTGTTATACATTAAGTTCATAGGACGTATTGTCCTCAGATCAACTGATGAGCAACAGCAGTTGAAATCTTGTTGTGGACCTGAAAGCATTCGATGATGTACACAGAAGCCGTCTTGCCCATGCTAAGCCAATATAGATGATAATTAATGAATGACTGGCAGTGGATGGTTTCTTTTCTCCCTGTGTCACCGCATCAGATTTTTAGCATAAGTTCTTTGGGACTTTCTTCATCTTTTATTTGCACAGCCTCCACGCACACAAGTCAGCCTCCATGAATTAGAGATCAAGAAGCCCTTCTGTTCACTGAGGGTGAACCAAAGCTCACCAGGTTCTGCAGTTAGGAAAAGAGCAGTTGACTCTTTTTGGTGTAAAAACTATTACAATGTGCAAGTTGATGTAGAGTATTTTAATTATATCTTATGCCTTGTAATAACCTTTGCTGCAGATTTCAAGATGCTTTCCTCCACTCTTCGGCATCCCATTTCCTCTGGGAAAAAATGCGTGGGCTCTTCTTTGTCCTGGTTACGTGCACAGTGGGTGCCTCTACTTTCCGAATCCAGCAAGTGGAAAGCACAGGTAAGGGTATGCTTCATTTTTCTGTCTCTCGCTTCCTCCTTTTTAATGTGACAGACTAATAGTAATATAAAAATGTCTCTGATTTATGTAGAAAAATGTCCAGATCACACCGTGTTTTTCAAACACTACTATGAACTCTATGGAGAACCTGTGGTTCTGAAATGCCCTTCCCCCAGATACAAACATTTGGATTTTTCTGCCTTGACCCTTAATGTCACATGGTATAAAAACGATTCAAAAACGATGATGTCAGGAAGAGATGAAGATCCAAGAATTTGGGCAAAAGGAGATGCACTCTGGTTTTTACCAGCAATGCTAGAAGACTCAGGAGTGTACATCTGCACCAGAAGGTAGGTATTGAAAAGAAAATCTAGTGCCCTGACAAGATGGCTGTATCTAAAATGCATTCTTAGTTTGAATCTAAGATCCAGTTATGTTATATAGCTTGTAGAGGGTTATCTTGTAGCAAGTTTGGATAAGATCATTTCCTCCTCAACTTTAATGAAGAAAAAATGTAAAAGCATTGTGTGCCTCTTAAATATATTATGATTTGGATAAATCTTGACAGAATATTGCCATTCTGACTACAATATCATGTGGAAATAGCATACATAAGATTTTGTTCTCGTTTATTTATAAGTCAGTCACCGTTAAGTCAAACAGGAATATACGGTAGACACAGAATTCTATAGAATGCAACCCTTACCTTACAATTTTAGAGAAGCAAACAGCATCGCTCTCATTTCAGATTGCATTATGAAGCATATACCAGGGCACTGTGGCTCTGAAGTAGCTTGCTTCTTTCCTGTTCCCTTTCCCTGATCTTTTTTTTTTAAAACAGATTTTGATTGCCTTGATTTTGCTGGAAGATCTCATGAAATTGGATAGCTAGTGTTTTTTCTAGAAGAGTATTTGACTCATGATACTACAATAGGGTGAAACTTGAGCCATGACTTTTCTGAGCCTTCCTGGTCATTTTTAAGGTTTTAAAGTCTGACAGCCTGCCCTATAGTTTCAAAAGAGGAATCAGAATTTGCATTAGTGGAGGACTGTGGAAGAAGGAAATGACTGTCATTATTAGAGCCTGAACCTTGGAACCTCCGGACCCTGGAAGGCTTCTTTGTGTCTTTGTCCCCTGCCAGCTCTGCTTTCCATTTGGCCTTCCAGTACATACTTGGGAACTGGCACCTTGTTGTTCTGGGATTTATGTTGTTGAACATATCTCAATATCTGGAGTTGCCTCTACAAAGCGCTATCTATCTCCCTGCTGGCAAGGCATACCTCATGAGTGAGATGTGTCAATAGTAGAAGAAATAGGCAGGTAAAACTTAAGCTAAGAATTTACGCTCTGCATAATAAGTTGGTCCTTCTGCATGTCTTAGCAGAGTTTGCAGTGGTGGGGCAGAAGAGAAGACTTTGATAGTGAGGCTGGAATGATTAAAAGTTGGAAATCGTTGTCTGAGAGCACAGAGCGGTTGCCTGAAATTTTAGAGGGTTGTTGTTTATCCCCTTTTTTTGGACTATTTTGCCTCTGTTCCTTAACTGCCCCATTTTTTCAACACTCTTTAAAATGAAGGTAGAGACAAACATTTCATGTCTCTGCTTCTGTTCAGCAAATATTTTGGATTTAGGAACCCAAACTGTACATGACAACCCAACACATGACACAGTACCACCACAGTCGTGTGAGCCCATCTGCCTGCAGCATGGAGAAGTGCTCCAGCAGCTTGCAGCCCAGCACACACAGACCTCTGCTTCAGGACCCTCGGCTTAAGTTAAACACTGCCATGCATGAAGGCGTCTCTCAGAGGCACACTCTCGGAGGTTGGAAAGGAAGGGCTTAAGTACCTATCCAGCAAATCATCTCTGCTAATGTTGTTACTGCAACAATAAAACAGAAAGAGAAGGTTGTTCCTCCTCAGGACTGGAAGTGATTGCCACCTTGGGCCAGAAGGAAAAGCTATTGTTAAACTTTCAAAGAAGGAGTGACTTCTTTTCTATGGAGAATGATATGTGCTCACAGAAATGCCTATTAGTTCTGCAATAGTAACTGCAGATGTGTTTTAATACATGCTTTAAGCTTTTATTTGTTCCTTACGTCCCAATCATTGGGATTTTAACAGTTAAGACTTCTTTGAAAGCAATGGGTGGAACATTCATGACGCACCTGCTACTACTTAGGAAGATACATTTTTCCCCCCGCCTTGCAAAATTCGAATCATGACTTAGCCTCAGGGTGTACAGCAAACTTGATGTATTGAAAAAAAAATAATTTGAAACTCTGAGGCAAACATGTGTCATCAGCATGTTTAGGTTGTGCCAAAATCAGTATCAGTGATTTTCCAGCATCCCTGCTGGGACGACCTCAGTCTTGGCCTCTTAGAACTGGCTAAGGAGAGAAATAGAGCCATGAAGAAATGAATGACACAAAATAGAGGCTTCAAATCGAGGGGCTGAGGGCTTGGCTGTGGAAGCAAGGGCACCTCTCAGACCATGGATAGAGGAATACACTGGCCTGGGTCACATCAGCTCAATTACTGGAGAGAACGTTTCAGTGCCAGTAGTCACCAGTTTCAAATCAGCTTTAGCTCATGAATATCTGATTTCAAATTCACTTGCCATTGATTTGAAGGGTGTAACTTGTGTCCTCGTGGCAGGGGCGTGCTCACAGCTGAACATCTCCCCCCTCTGCTCTGTCTGCAGGAATGCCTCCTACTGTGCCGAGGTGTCCATCCACCTCACGGTTGTGGAAAAAACAGCTGCTCGTGAGATCTCCTATCTTCAAATCCTCTTCACTTTCACAGCTGGAAATGTTGTTTGCCCTGACCTGTGGGACTTTGTGCAAAATAAGACAGACCTGGAGCTCAAATGGTACAAGGTAGAACTTCCATTTTCTCTTTGAGCAAAGCCTAATCCCATCCCTCTTGCTATGGTAGATACCTCTCCGCTTTCTGTTTCTCTTGAACATCAGGGTGTTAAAATTACTAACATTTTGACAGTATGGCATTATATTCTGGGATTTTGGGGACAGATATGAATTTTAAGAGAGGTTCTCCAGGGTGGACCTAGGAGGATATGATGTGTGAGCTGGCTGAAATGCTCCACCTGTTATATGCTTTCATAGCGAGTGCAACTATTTTTAAGGCCAGACTACCCTAACTCCAGGGTTTGTCACTTCACAGTAGGCCCTGCTCTTTGGTACTATGTTTCTTTTTATGGCCCCTGCAGTAAATCCCAAAAAGCAAGGCTACCCAATGTATGCGTCCCCTGCGTGAACTGTGTTCAGACAACGTAGTCTTCGTTATCAGTCAAAATGCAACATTTGAAAGTACTGAGAACAGACTTATTGCATACAACTTACTCTGGTCTCTTGCCTAACTTGCTAGTCCGTGACTTTTCAAGTAGGCAGGCCTGATTTTGCCTAAAAGGCCAAATATCCCTCACTTGACTGGCCACAGCTGTCTAATCTTGCACTGGAGAGCATAGGATTCTTATATTTTCCTCGTACCTTGGTTTAGCTTTCATTCACACTAAGATCATATGCTCTGCCTCTTGCAGCTCTCATTCTTAAGGCAGGACGTAACACCTAGGGTGGTTTCATACAGCAGTACCTGTGCTGTGGTTGATACCAGACTAACAAAGTTTCTCTGTTCAGGTTTTCCTTCTGAACCAGGCTATAACTGACTTATCTAAGTCAAAGGTTCACTCCACAGCATAGCTCATGTCACGACTGTCAGAAAGAGCAACTCCGTCTTCATGGAAAAGGAGTGTAACAGTTCCTAGCAGAGCTCCAACCTGTATATGAACCGATTGTTATTGATACAGAGCAGGAATTTATCACAGCTTCTGAGGTCATGTAGGGAA